AAAACAACAGGTCCCTCAAAAGGCCTTCGGTGGTGGCAAAGCCACTAGAACCCGCTTACCGAACCAGGGGGAAAAATACTCAAAAAAAAGGTGCCACAAAAAGAACGTAAAAAGACCGAAAACCGAAAAAGAAAAAGAAAAGGAAAAAAAAAGAAGGAAACAAAAAAAAACGGAGAAAAAACAACTCAAAAGAAAAGGTGCCAAAAGAAAAAGGAATTGTAGAAAGGAATACCCTCAGGAAGGCGTTGCGCAACGCCTCCCTTTTTCTCCGACGGAACGCCTGGAGCTTCTGCAGGTTGGGCGCCAGGAGCGCCAGCGCCGGCAGGTCACAGCGGCAGTGCGGGGAGTTCCAGGTGGAGCCCACGCCTGCGGTGGGCCGCATCACCAAAGGACGCGCCAGGGGCAATGGGGTGGGGTGGGGTGGGGTGGGGTGGGGTGGGGTGGGGTGGGGTGGGGTGGGGTGGGGTGGGGTGGGGTGGGGTGGGGTGGGGTGGGGTGGGGTGGGGTGGGGTGGGGTGGGGTGGGGTGGGGTGGGGTGGGGTGGGGTGGGGTGGGGTGGGGTGGGGTGGGGTGGGGTGGGGTGGGGTGGGGTGGGGTGGGGTGGGGTGGGGTGGGGTGGGGTGGGGTGGGGTGGGGTGGGGTGGGGTGGGGTGGGGGGAGAAGGCCAACTTGCGATCGCGGAAAAAGGGGGAGGAGAGATGGAATGCACCCAGTTGCTGTGGTCCCCTTTAAAGGAACTACCGGTTGAGATGGTATACATCGGGGTCAGAGCACCAGCAAGCCAAGGGAGAGCCCCCTGAGCGCCAGGAAGGGCCAACCCGAGCCAACCCGCAGCCGAACCAGCCGAAGAAGGCGACCCCACTGCGACGAAGGCGACCTTCCAGAATGACCTGGCTTCTTCATGAGCGACATTTTTTGGGGGGGACGTATTCATCCACCAAGTTTCCAGGGGTACCTTCCATGTCCATTCTTTCCAGGGATCCTTCTTTTCATAAAAACCCTCAACAACCCAGGGGAAACAGATCCGGTTTTTGAAAAGAACGATGGTTGAAAAAGGAATGGAAAATGAATCAACAGAGCTTTGGCAGTTTGTCACAAAAATTGGGGGACCAAAACATAGGTGAGCTTCTGGAAAAAATAGATGAGGTTCCCTGGTACATAGAATCAAACCACTCTAAACCAGTGGAACCCCATCCATGTCTAGGAACCAAACCAACATAATAATAATAATAATAATAATAATAATAATAATAATAATAATAATAATAATAATAATAATAATAATAATAATAATAATAATAATAATACTAATAATAATAATAATAATAATAATAATAATAATAATAATAATAATAATAATAATAATAATAATAATAATACAAGGACCCCTGGAAGGTTGTGCCTACCTCCCACGTCGTCCCGTCCCACCCGCTCCCCGCCTTTCACCACCGCCACCAAGCTCAGCTCCCGCAGCCTGCGCCGCGGGGAGAGCTGAGGCGACCCGGCGAAGCTTCGCTGGGACGCCTGCGCATGCGGCTGCGCACGCGGCGCCCGGCGAGCCCACCGAAAACCCGAGAAGAAAGAACAAACGCTAGAAAAATGCGGTTTGCCCCTGAGATACATATGGCTATGGGTCAAAACCCAAATCGTACCCCCAGTGAACATCCCAAGCCAACCACTAAAACAGGTTCTAAAATGGGTGGTGCACCTAACCCAAAATGATAGGAATCGGTCCCCAAAAATGGTTGGTTCCCTGTTGGTTTCCCTGTAGAGACCAACCCAAACTTTGGGTCCAGCATTTGAGAACACCCATATGGCCAGAGGTGCCCTGTTGTTTGGGCTTTATCAAATTTCATTACAACTACCATGGACAACTGGACCTTTGAGCAGTGCACAGGCCCAAAAACGCCTCTCTGTGCCGCACCACCATCGGCAGCTCCAAGCGCGGCGTCGCAGACGCCGCAGTGGACGCCACACTGCCCAGTGGAGAGGCGCTGGCGGAGCGCGGGAGCCCGGCAACTGCCCCCGCCCCCCCGGGCACGTCCCGCGGGCCGGGACCGGGCGCAGTCACGGACTCCACCTCTGACAGGCTGTCGCGCCACAGCATCTCCGGCTCCGACTCGGACTCGCAGTGGTCCGGCTCGGACTCGCCCTGGAGAAAAAACCAAAGGGGCATCTTGCCTGCACATGTTTTTCGTCTTGCCATGCGCCCCGGCTTTTTACTAGCCCCGGCTCAGCACAAGGCCGCGCCCCCATGTGGCTCTGAAGAGGTTGGCTGGGAACCCTTGCTTCGCTCAGGTTGGGGGCAACAGGTGGTATCCAGGTTGGGGGTCGGTGGGCCGCATCCCCAGCACCCCCAGCATCACCGGCCTCGCTCGGACTAGGGCTGCCTATTGGCTTTGATTTGGTGGAGTTGCTCCAGGCTGGTTTCGGGCGATTGTTGGGCTTGCTGAGGTCTTATATAATGAGGGTGGGGCTTGGGTTTGTTTGGGGTTCATTTAGGCTTTGAAAAGGGCTGATATCCAGGATGCTGTTGGGAGGGTTTAAGGTTGACTTTGAGTTGGTTTGGGTTGGCTTGCAGCTGATTTGCGCGAGGTGTGCGGCCCGGTTTTTGCACTAGCCTTTGGGCTTCTTCAGGGCGTGGTTGCGCAAGTTTGGGCTGGTTTGGGTGGTTTGGGGCAACGCCCAACCCAAACCGACTCAAAGTCAATGCCTCCAAACAGCATCCTGGATATCAGCCCTTTTCAAAGCCCCCAAACAAACCCAAGACCTGCCCTCATTATATAAGACCTCAGCAAGCCCAACAATCGCCCGAAACCAGCATGGAGCAACTCTGAACTGCCAGCAAATCAAAGCCAACAGGCAGCCCTACTCCGAGCGAGGCCGGTGATGCTGGGGGTGCTGCGGATGCGGCCGCCCAGCATGCAGGGCGAAGACAAAAATGAAGAAACCTGCTCCGCGAGATGCAAAAAAAACAACGGGCGTCCTCCACCCGCAGATAGTCACAGACCAGACGCTCCAGGTTGGGGAAGCAACTCAGCCACTTCGCGGGGAGCGAGGCCATGTGCGCGCCGGTGTTGTGGGAGAAGCTGCCTAGGTTGAAGTATGGGTCGCATTCGATGGACAGGGCCCGCAAGGAGTTCCTCGGGTGAGCAAGGAGCTGACGGCTGCGATATGCACCCCCCCAAAAAAAGGCAGCGGTGGGAACCCGAAGGTATGGGAACCCCGGAGCAAACATTTGCAAAGGTGAAAACCGCTAGGTCTATGCGGGGTCGACATCGTGACATTGGCCAATTCTGACGAGCCCCATCCAACGTGAGGAACCACTGCTTCAAAACTCCAGTCGCCAAGGCGGCTGTTTAGTTTTGGAAAGTTGCTTTAGTCATGAACGATACCGGTCATGATTATAGAATTTGAATCATCAACGATTACGCTATTGCTTTTGCCTTCGCATATCGATACAAATAAAGCCATTCTATACCTACCCACAAGCTGCCTGAAGATCGATCTAGCCAGTTTAGGCCCTGCGGGTGCCGGGGCAATCTCGCGCCTTTGCGCGTGGCGCACGCGTGTCTTCCATGTTCGGCCGAGTGAGCAAGTCGTTACCCAGTCAGCTTCCAGCCCAATGACAGGAGTCACTCCACTTTTTTGAGCGGGGACTCAGATCCGGGCAAGCTAGGTGACCAAAGATCCAATGGTCATGTTTTTCTGGAACAAAGATGGACTCCACTGCATGAAAGTTGAACCAAGCTGGTCCCCTCCCAAGAAAACAAAACATTGACTTGTTACACAAGTATCCTTCCGGCCACAGGCAGATGACCATCCCCACCAGAGATATCCCAAACGGGACCGGTCGCATGTCCCAGGGAAACAAAAGCAAACACACGGGGCCGCATTATGGGTTAGTAAAGTTAGTACAGGGTTCTAATTTCACTTGGAACCCACTTGGGAACACAAATTCACCTGCCCCCCCCCCCCCCCGCAAAAAAAAAAAAGGAAAAGACTTACCGCCCACTCAGGAACAAATTCCCCCTCCCAAAAACAAAAACAAGACTTACCGCCCACTGAGGAACAAATTCCCCTCCCAAAAACAAAAAAAAGACTTACCCGCCCACTCAGGAACAAATTCCCCCTCCCAAAAACAAAAACAAGACTTACCGCCCACTGAGGAACAAATTCCCCTCCCAAAAACAAAAAAAAGACTTACCGCCCACTCAGGAACAAATTCCCCCTCCCAAAAACAAAAACAAGACTTACCGCCCACTGAGGAACAAATTCCCCTCCCAAAAACAAAAAAAAGACTTACCGCCCACTCAGGAACAAAGTCCCCCTCGCAAAAACAAAAACTAGACTTACCGCCCACTGAGGAACAAATTCCCCTCCCAAAAACAAAAAAAAGACTTACCGCCCACTCAGGAACAAAGTCCCCCTCCCAAAAACAAAAACAAGACTTACCGCCCACTCAGGAACAAAGTCCCCCCTCCCAAAAACAAAAAAGGTCGCCTCTTCCGGCCACGGCACACCTGGCACCTTTGCTGGCAGAAGTTCTCGAGGTCGTGTCCCCTGAACCCGCTGAGCGCCAGCTCTTCAAGCTGGGTACATTTGGAGAACCTTACCCGCTGGCCGCTCCTCCCTGGTTGTTTTTGAGGGCAGTTCCCCCCCCCCCGCCCGTTTCTTGGGGGAAAAACGCCGAAAAACCGCCGGTTCTTGGTCTTCGCCTACATGACGGGGGCGGGGGGGGGGGGGGGAGCTTCCCATTTTGGGGGATTGTCCTGGTGGGTAATTTTTTGGGGCAGCTTCCATTTTGAGGGATATGTCCCCTTCAGAAGTTGTGACTGACGAGCAAAAGAGCATCTTACAGCTTGCTTGCTGCGATAAGTAGGGATTCCATTTCTCATTCTCTGCTGAGAACCAGCAAGCTTGCCGTGGTTGCTCCAACCCCCCCCCGTAAACGAGCGAAAGGTCCTTCGTGGGAATAAAAACAGTCTGGGTTGCTCAAACGATCCTTGCCTTTCATATCCTTTTGCCAGGTTTAATTCTAAGGGTAGCTTCCCAATTCTTTCCAGGGATCCTTCTTTCTAGCAAAACCACAAAAAAACATGGGAAACAGCTGGTTTTCGAAAAGAACGATGGTTGAAAAGAATGGGGAATCAACCCCCAGATTCCAAAACAGGGTGATTCCCTCCAAAGACCTGCCAAGAGGTGATTTACTTTTTGGGAGCCCAAGGACTAAGAATGGTTGCCAAAAACCACCCTCGGTCTTTTTGAAGGGGTTGGGAAGCCTCACCCTTTACATGGAGAGTTTCGTCATTTGTTTGTCTGTGCACAGGTTAAAAAGGAACGCCGAACTCCAGTGTCAACATGCCATTTGGAAGGCCAAAAGGAAATGCGAAAACTGGGCCAGACTCAGACCCCCCGCACAAGCCAACCTTTGGAAAGGGAAACTGTGGAAGCCAAAGGATGTGGAGGCTGTCCTTGTTGTTTGAAGGGAACCCTCCCAAATGCTGGGTTTCCTTTGGCTTTCCCCCCAAAATGGTGGGATTCCGGTTGGTTGCCTTTTAAAACCTACCAAAGAAGCGGTAACCCGGCTCAAAAAAAACAAAAAGCCAACTGAGCGAGGCCATGATCAAAGCTAGGCAGCTGCATGCACAGAGATGGGCTCAGCCGGTAGGGCCCGTGGCTAGCAATCTTCAAACACCTCAGGGACAAAACGCGCTCACTCGCGTTTTGGCTCGCTTGCGCGCTCCCTCCCTCTTTGGTGGTCATCTGGTTGTTGTTTGTTTCACACATTTGGCTCGACCCCCACTTCGCAACAACAAAAGTATCAGGACATCGGCCTCTCTTGTTTTTTTTTCCACTCCTTTGGCTTGACCCCCCCCCTCCCCCCCAAAATAAAAGAACGAAACAACGGAGCGAGCACGCCAAACCACCAAAAACGCCTCGCTGTTGTTTTTGGTTTGGTCCCCGGCCTAAGGTGTGGCCCGAACCTCGCCAGCAAGCGGTTCAAGCCCGGCAGGTCCTCCGGCTCCGGGCAGAGCTGGGCCCACAAACAGGGCTCCGTCGCCGCCTCGTTTCGTCGCGCGCGGTCGCGCGGGCGAAGGGCGCGACGCGAACCCGATAACCTGGGCATAGGTGGCCTTGTAGGTGAAATTACCAGGTGAACCAGGAATCGCCAAACAAAAAAGGACACCTATGTACCTGGGGATTCCCTAAGGCAAAAATCGTTGGATAATTTATAGGCAGGGAAGGTGACATGGAATGAACCCGAAATGGGATTCTCCCAAATAGAGGGAACTGGATGGTTGAAATGGACCCCAAGCTGGGATAGCACCATCAAGCCAAAAACCATGTAAAGAAATAAATAAAGACAAACATCACCTATTTACGGTTGCTGTGAATTGCATTTGCACCCGGGATTTGTGTGGCTCGCATTTCGAGACCCATGGAAACATCCAATGGGTTTTGCCACCGGGGCAGCTATTGGCTGGGGTTGCCAGGTTCCACATGGTCGCGGCTTGATTTTGATTTTTGCTCCCCCCCTTCCGCCCCCCAAACGCGCAAAGCTGCTCCAATGCTGGAGCAGCTTTAGCTTTCTCTGAAAGACATCCAAAAAGGGTCCATGTTTGGACACCACCCAAAAAGGGGGGGCGGCTCTGGTAGTCATGCCGAAAGGAATATCCTCGGGCGGGGTGGTGTAGGGATTGCCCAATGGGATGATCTCTATTTCCCAAGCTTGAACTGAGAAATCCCCAAGGTACTCTCCGGCCATCAACCTCCCTCTTCCCACTATTTGTACGGTATGATTTGATGTCAAGCCCTGACTGAAACAGGAGCTATCTATCAAAAAACAACAAAAGGGATTGACAAAATATCCTTGGAGCCTCAAACTGCACTTTAAAAAGGATATTGCCCCAAACATACAAGCAATATCCCGTTGTTCTGCGTCGTTTTAAAGACGCTGGCAAACGAGAAATTGCGGCAAAGGTCCAATTCCAAACGAGGGGGCCAACCGCTGTTTCGCGCGGTGTGGGTCAAAATTAAACCACAAAAAAAAAACATGTTTCAGTCATTGTTTCCATTTGCCAGGGTGCCATTTTGGGTACCAATATTGAATCCAAATGTTGATGTTGCTCCCTGCCTCATGCCAGCGCCGAGCAGTTGACGCACAGAGCAGGCGCTCGTGCAGAGGGCTGAAGGCCAGACAGTTGCACAGAGCGTCCACGGGGCATCGCAGCATAAGGCGCGAAGGAACCGAACACCAAAGGAGCGTCCCGATGGATGTGAAAAAACAAATTGGGGGTGGGGGGGGGGGGCGTTGGTTCTGCCAGCTCAAGCTGTGACTTGCGCAACGACGCCGTGTTTGAGTGGCTCTCCTACGGGCTGAGCGAAAGCAAGTGCAAACGCCTTGACGCGGAACTGCCAAACCTGCGCCTTGCTCCCTCAAGATCCTCTCTCTCTAGCAGAAGCGCCCCTTTTTCCACAGCCGTCTTTCGGTGGGTTTCCGCATGGAAGACTCCAAGATCTCGGAAACCCCGCCAAGCAACTCCTGGGCGTCCGGCGACGCTCTGTTGCGCCGTCGTCCGGGGGCGTCCGTCGCGGGACGGCGCGCTCGAGCGTCGCAGCTTCGAAATCCCCGCTTCAACAGTTCATGGGGTCGCGGTCCACAAAGCACACCTGAACGGAGGCGGCACAAAGTTCATTTAAGTGTGGCTCAAAATTAAACAGGAGGGGTTACGCAGGTCTTGGTCCATGTTTCCACTTTCCAGCGTTCCATTTTAGTACCGGTTTTTGAGCCACGGCCATTTGCCATTTTGTTGGGGAAAGAGAAGGCAAAAGAATTGCCAAGGCCCCCTCCAAAAGTGAACCACTTCAGCATTCTACCCTCTGAAAGTCTGTTCACCTGCATTCTGACGTGCAAAGGAAGCATCCTTGATGCTCCTGTCAACAGAACCGTCTGCATTCCTTTCGATTCGAACGTGGCGAATGCTTTTGTACACTGACCTGAAGTTCAAGCCCTGTTCTTCGCACAGAGGCGCCTGGACAGCAAAACCCTTGCCTCGCCCCCTGACGAGTTCGCCTCTCCAGCCGCTGGCTAAAATCTCCCTAAAGGTACGGAATCCCTGACCCTTGAAGAATGAGGGCATCACTGTGCGACTGTGGATGGACAACATCTTGCACCAGTTGACATGTGGTTTACCCCAGCATGCATAATCCACAGGATTGCCCGACTCCGGTGATGAAAGCTGCCTCCTTGCCAACTTCCTCCTCAGCATCCTCAGGCAGAAGCTCCAGCACCCCATTAATTTCTGAACGCTCCGTCGGGAAGATGACCTGCCGATTGCAACCCTGGCAACAAAGGGAACCCTTCTGGGGGACGACCATATTCAAAAAGAGGCCAAACAACAAGGGAAAGGGTGCTAGAGCAGATTTTGTTTGGAATGTTGAGTGCCCAATGGATGGCCCAAGCAGGACGCAGCGTCCTTGTTGGAAACTGGGGAGGTGTCACTTGGCTGTGAGCTCGACCAGGCTGCTCATGAAACCATGCGCTGATGCTAAAGATGCTGTTGATGCCGATGATGCTGCTGCGGATGGGGATGATCGTGATGCTAGTGATGCTGGTGATGATCACAGGTGTTTCGGCACACATTCTCAGCTTCACCATGCGGGTTCTTTGGTCCCACAGATGCAGTAGTTGTGAGTCGAAACTGTGTTGCAGACCATGCAGGTGATGCAGATGATACCGGTGCTGCTGACAACCCGCGCGCCACCAAATACAACTTGACGTGGTTGTTGGTGCTCACGATGATGCGAGTTTGCGAGCCAAGTTGGCGGTATAAGTGGATGTGGGTGGTGAAGCATGTAAGGCATGCTGGTGATGCAGGTGATGTTGGCAAGTGCTGGGATGCAAATGGTGCCAGTAACACGGGTGGTGCTAGTGATGCGAGTGATGCTCATGATGCTTGCAGATGCGGCTTGTTGTGATGCTAACGATGCGAATGATGCTAACTAGCATTGAGAGTGGTGCTGATGCTGATCTTGAGATGTCGAGAAAAAAATGCAGGGAAAAAATGCGACAAGAGAAAGAAATTCAGGCCCCTGTCATCTTTGGAAGCAGAGTGAAGCTGTAGGTTGGCCCATGGTCACCAAACTTGAGTCCAGAAATTGCAGTGGTCACTTGCACACTATGGGGTAGCTCTCGAGATGGATGAACCTGGAATGTCTGATCTTTCCAAAAGTGACCACATAGGGATATCAGAGATTCCAGCTCTACCAGATTTCCCTACGCTCCTTTAAGCTCCAAAAGGCAGCGCATGGCCTTTCCCAATAGCTAACGCTTTAGAGTCATGCCCTCAGGAAAGCCAGCCCTTCAGGTTCTCGACTTGGTTCCTTCCGAGCCCGGTTTAATTCGGGGCCTTGTCCTAAGCCTCGCAAAGGTTGGGACTTGCAAGAGCACTTAAGAGGCCAAAAGGTTACACGCTGGCTTCGAGTTGGGGCCCACAACCTACCCCAAATCCCAACCCGTACATCCACCCCTAAGCTAAAGCCCATAAAACCCACCCACAACCCACCTTCATAGCCTCCCAAATACCGCGCAAGGTGGGTCTGGAAGCAGACCAAAGATGGAAACCCCCCAAGCCGCCCAACCGTCAACCACCTGCCTTCACCGCCACAAAGAGGTTCCCGAAGCGGAAGGGTTGGCCCTTCAAGGGCATGCCCTGGCCCTTCACGGCCTGCAAAAGGGCGCTGGAAGGGGTGGGGGTGGGGTTGGGGGGTAGGGAAAATGCCAGGAATGCACGTGGGAACCCAAAAGGGATTCCCCACAAAAGGGGTAGAGTCTGAGCCAAGATATGATGGTTGAAGCAAAGTGTGGTTACATGTGTGGGTTCCATGATTTTTCTGCTGGTAGTGTTGGGAACAAGACGGCAATCGCATGAACATGCCCACTTGTTTGCATGACATCAGTCAGGCAGCTTGGTTTCTGTGCTGATCATTTTAGAGGCACGTGGCGGGAGGTTGATCACTACACATTCACAACTTGGAGATGCTTCCTCGTCCGTGAAAAACCACACAACGTACATGATCCTCTGAGAAGCGGGACAACACAAGGAAGCCGGCCCCGCACTCGAAATTCCCCGTCTTCGACCAGAACTCGTTTCACAGACACGGGCGCTTCCCCTTGAAGGTGTTGTTTCTGGATTCGGAATCTGGGCTGCCCTCAGATCCCCCGCTAAAAGTTTAACGCTTAGTAGGTTAAATGGAAACTACCACCAAACACTACAAAGATCTAAAAGGCTAAGGAACCGGATGGCCTTCGGGAGCCACCAAGGAATGGGAAACGTCCGGAAGCAACCTGTTGCTTGGATGTTGGCTTCAGCTGGGTCTCAGGCAGGCATTGCCTGTCATGGGTCACCCCCCCTTTCCACGGGTTCGGAATCTGGGCAAAATAGCTCGAGCCGTCCACCGGATTTTTTGGGGGGAAAGTCCCCCCCCCCCCCGACGAAAGGACCTTCGTCATCTGAGTTCGCTCGGGTTTTCGGGGAGCCAGTTGTATCCGTACCTCTAGGGTGCTCAAAAACACGCGTGTGTTTGTGCGTTTGTTCTTTTCCGGCAGGGGGGCACCTCTTTTTGAAGAAAAGGAATCCCAAGGATTCGAACAAAGAAACAACCTACGCCCATACAGGTTTGTCTCGCAACGAAAGATCCCGAGAAACGGTCTTGGTTTCCCTTTGACATCCCTTCAAAACAGCTAGGAAGAAGCAAGGGAAGCTGTAGGGCCAAAAAAAGTGTTGTTTTGGGGATCACTGAAACAGGTGGCTTCCTCTTGGTTTCCAACAAATCACACACTTATCTCGAGAGGCTTCACTAGCCGAGATGAAAACCGCAGTCAGTAAAAATGCTCGAATGCAAATGCAAATCAACAGGTCACGACGTCGACACCGAACAGGAAGCAACAGCGACAAACAGAAACCGCAGAAGGAAATAGGCAGGTACGTCGGATTGATCAGATCCGATATCCCATGACTGAGGTAGCTTCGTTGAGTGCGGTCCCTCAGTCATGCCGCACTCCCCTGCAATGTGGAATTTCCGTCCGTGCTCCAGGACGCTTCACACACACGGAGCCCCAACTGGGGCGACATCACTTGTGCGAGGCCCATTGAGTCTTGCAAGCATCAATTGTGCGAGAAAGTCTTGTGGCGATGACTGACCACGCATACTTGGCTTTGGAATTGGTCTTAAGGGAACGGAGGAGTTCAATCTCTCCCTCAGTCCAAGGCTGCGAGGCTTCAGGTTCGGCCTCAGTAGAGGCATCAGTCCTGGTCGATGTGGTAGCTTCGCTTGGTCCACGAGCAGGTTTGGATGCCGTAGATCGTGAGGAGGCCAAATCACGTGTGCGGCGAGCTCGTTTTTTGTCGGGAGAAGACGGAGGAGGAGTGGGCGGAGCCCAATGATCAGGGAATTGTTCGTCATGATCAGTGGGAAGGTGTTCATCTGGAGCATCAGGAGGTGGCTCAAAGAGGTCCTCGAGGGGGGCCAGGAGGGGTGTTGGTGGTGAGTTGGTCAGGTCCTCAATGGCGGGGTTGAGCGTGGCCTCCGGTGCCAAATCAGGTTCGGCAGTCGGACTCTCAGTGAACTCGCGGATGGTGGCGATGCCTTGTTGGGCAATGCCAAGGATGAGTTCGAAGTCTTGGAGCAGCTGGCGTGCTGTGTTGGTATCCATGCTCGCAACGGATTTTGGTCAAACAGTCAAACAGCTGCGGCACGAAAATCAGGTCAAATCTGTCAGGATGCAAAGGCAGAGAAGAAAACCAGTGTGGTTTCGCAAAGGACGGTTTTTCTTCTCTTTGTAAGGTGAAACCGTGTTGGAGGTACAACCTCTTCAACATTGCAAGATCCTGATCTCGCTGAAATTCAGGAAAGGAAACTCGGCTGATCAGCGTGCGTCTGGAATAATATCCAGATTCCTTATGTATCATTGGTGCGGCTGACTTGACGGAGAGCATGTTGTGCTTCTCATGCGAGGGAATGAAGGAGATGGTGCTGCTTGTGAGGTTCAGTCGGAACCCCAAGAAGTCCAGGGCGGCTTCTGTTTCCAGGAAGATGTCTCCTCCATAGAAGTGTTCGTCGCACAGTATGTTGGCTGCCGGAGTCGAGAGCCACCTGGGGGTTGCGATCACGAGTCTGTTGTCCACGTAGCGGAGCAGGAGAGTATCTTCAACGGAGCGAAGTCCCGATGTGATGTGAGTGTTGGTCCAACATTGTTCGGCGACCGCGATCACCATCAAACAGAGAGCTGGGGACGCGGGGGATCCCATCGGTGCCCCACGTGTTTGCCTGAATGAACGAAGGCCGACAGAGAAGATCTGCATGTCAAGGGTGGCCTGAATGATCTCGGGGATGTCGTCGAGCCACAGGGTGCGTTGTGTGGGTTTGTGTCGGCGACGGCGTCCGTTGTAGACGCGGGTGATGGCAGAGGTGTCAAGTGTGTCCACTGTGAGGTGTGTGGTAGAGGAGTGTGGTTGTCGTTGTCGGTACCAGGTTAGCAGTAGTCGCCAGGCTGCTAAGAAGCGGTCTTTGTCGATGGAGGTGAAAAAACCGGAAAGGTCCTGGTTTCGGTAGTCCAAATGGGTGTGGCCGAGGCTTAGAAACTCGTGCAAGGACCGCATGAGTTCAAAGAGGTCGCCACCTGAAAACGCGTCAGGGCAAGCCGTGGTCACCATGCTGTGGAGGAGCTTGGCGAGAGCGTCGAGCATGGGTCGGAAGAAGGCGCCAATGAAACTGATGATGGGTCGGGCAGTGGTCCAGTTCTTCTTCCTCTTCGGGAGGATGTAGGCGTTGGCTGGCCTTCCGAATCCGGTCACGGCCCAAGGATAGCGGCCGCGGAATCTGGTGACAATGGTTTCTCGTAGTCGTTGGTGGATCTCAATGGCAGGGACCGGCAGAGGGGCGAAGATGGCAGGGTCCGCAAAAGTGGCTTCCAACATCTTGCCGTAGAGAACGGGACAATAGATCATGAGTCGGGAGTCCGCATGGTCTTCGCAATGGCGGACAAGGGGTTCCAGGGTATGCAGAGCCCGTTGGACGTGGGCGTGAAGAAAGTACTGTGATGTGTGTGAAAGGTGGAGGTCGAAATGGAATTCGACAATAGTAGTGAGGGTTGATGGGTCGAGCGCGGGTAGGTTGTTGGTCCTGGCCCAGTGTTGAAATGCCTGGGTCAGGCGACTCATCAAGACCCCTCGTGGAGGAAAGAAGGAGTTGCGCATCGATCCGGATAGCATGTGGGCAGTGTCGGAGTCGAACAGCTCATGGGTGTCTGCACCGGAGAAAAGAAGGTGTCCGTCATGCTTCGGGAGGGATGGGTGTCGTTGGGCGAGGTCGGTGCATGTGCAGGTCGTTTCACCGAGACTCCAGGTTTTTGCTGCCTGGAGATGTGAGAACAAGGCACTGGAGAGTCTCCGATGTGCCTTGAAGACAATGCGTGGTTGTGCCATGTGAAACGGTAAAGCGCTGCGAGTGGTAGATCGAATAAACCCGCGAAGTTGGGTTAAAAGCAGGGATCGGAAAGAAGGATGGGCGAGGAAGGGTGCAAGCATCGGTCTGGAGGGGCCAGGTGGAATGAGGCCCCGGAATCGTAAACTGGATCGAATGGCGGAAAGGCATGCCTGGTGGTGTGGTTCAGGCAGGTGTGTGGCTATGCGATGAAGGACATAGAGAGCGGCGGGTGGGAAGTCTCTGCTCCGTATGTAACGGATGGCATCAAATCGTCGTAGAGTGTTGCTGCCAAGATCGCCCAAAAATCGCCACAAATCCAGGCGGTTGTTCATGCGCTTGGCCAGGAAGGCCTGTTGTAGGGCGATGGGTAGTCGTAGTCGGCGGCGTTTTCGCCAGATGGTGGCGAAGCCCATGTGCCGGGATTGGGAGAAGTCCAATTGGCGTGTGAAGCCCGTGCGTGGCCGGAAATGTCTCTCGATGAAGCCAAAATTGAGAGACGGTTGCAGTTCCTGGATGTAGAACTGTTCAGTGGCAAATAGGTCCGTTGCTGGAACGGCAGTGTGAATGGGCACCGAGGTGTAGTGGTGGAAAATGTCAAAATGTGCCCACCACCGGACTGCTAGTTCGGCATTGACCAGATGATGTCGCTGAACTTGGAGTAGTTTGCGAAGTCGGCTGTGGTCCCGTGCCATGAGGGAGGTGCGAGTGGCTCCGAGGTAGAAAAAGGTCTGCCACTTTGGATGGCTGGTGAATCTCAGATAAACCGCTGAAGGGACAAGCTGAGAAGAGAAATCGGAAGCAGGGTTGTCCAGGCCAAGTCGAGTAAGCAGGGCTTTCAGTCTGCCGGAACCACAGGAGAGATGGCAGACGTCAAGTAGCTGAAGCTGTGCGAGTAGCCAGGAGCAAGAATGACGTGCGGTGACGTCATCGGTTGGGAAGAACCGAAGAGTGAAACGGAGGACAGTGAGAAGTTGGCAGCAGTGGTGTTGCCAAAATTTGTGCTGCCTGGCTGTGCGTCGTTGTCGGTGTGCTGTTGAGAGTCACTGGTAGAAGTGACTCGCAGCGGCCAGGATGCGGCCCAAGGCCGATGACCCCAGTTTTGATAGGGTTCGCACCGGGATGCCCCATAGCACAGCGGCTCGTTCGAGTTGGGCTCTGGTGTCGGAGTCCAGTGTGGTTGCCCATTTTGCGCAGTCGTTGGACCAGCTTTTTAGGACTTGCTTGCTCTCTTTGCTGGTTTTCTGGGAGGTGATCCATCGCTGGACTTTGGTGTCGGAAATGTCGGGTGGGAAGTTGTTGGTGAGCCATTGGCAAACGTGGGGAGGTGGTTGGAGCAAGTCGCGGGGCTCCTTCCAAGTGGGTGGGGAGGGGAGGGGGGGAGGGGTCGGGGTGCCGCCGTGGGTGGAGGGGGCAGGAGGGTTGCGGTCGCTTCATGCCGAAGTCCAGGAGGGAGGCCTGAGATGGATCGGCTGGGCGTTTGTTGGATGAGGTGGGTGTGGGGGGGAGGGGGGGGGGTGAAGCCTGCTGGGCGAGTTGGTTGTGTGCGTCAGCAAGCTGTTGCTGAAGCTGGAGTATGGTGGCCGCGGAGGCCGGATCGGCCGTAGTGGTGGGTCGGAGGGAGATGAGGAAGTCGAAGATCTTGCTGGTGAGTAGCTTCATGGCTGCTGGTTTGGTGGTCGAGGCGCCCTCCTGCGTGGCTACATGGAGGGCGAGGGCGTCCAGGTCGAGGTGCCGTTGTCGGATTTGGCTGAGTAGTCCAGCAGCAAACACTGATTCCGGCATCGACTTTGCGACAACGATGCGGACTTCGCCTCCGTGGGCGAGGTGACGCAACCACCAACTGTTCCACTGTTCGTGCATGAGGTGGAGGAGGGGGACGCGAGCGATGTCTTGTCCCTCGATGCCCATTTGCCGAGTAAACGCGGTGTGCGTTATGACCTTGGGCAGGTCGTACCCCGCGACGCGGGTGGTGTCGTAGTGATCGTCGCCAGGGTTGAACTCGGTTGGTGTTGGGACTGAGTGGACGGGTCGAAGGGCCGGGGGAGGTTTGGATTGCGAGGCGGTGGAGGGGGAGGGGAAAGGTGGAGGGCGGGTGAAGGGGCCGGGGGGAGGGGGGGGAAAGGGGTTGCCGCCGGGAGGGGGGGGGAGAGAGCCGCCAAAGGAGGGTGGACGAGGGCCGGGGTGTGGTGGGTAATGGGGAATAGGTTGGCCGTAGGTCTGACAGGGAGTCGGATGTGTAGTTGGCGGTGTCCATGTCGTGGAAGAGCATCCGTAGGAAGGTCCGGACAGGGCCCCGCACGGGTTTCCGGCCATGTTGTTGCCGTACATGATGCCATGATGATGGGATGCCGTGGGCGAAGGCTGCGGTGGTAAGTTTTGCCTTTGGAGCATCGGAACCAAACCTCGAGGGGGTTGGAAAGCCATGCGAAAACACGGGGGAAAAGGAAATGTTCGAACCAAAAGCTGGTGAGCGGAATCAAGCGGGTAAGGTCACAAGGCGAGAGAACGGTCGCAGAAAGGCAGAACAGCAAAGCAAAGAAAAAAAAAACGATCAAACAGTGCACCAATTCTTTTCCTGGTCGGGTGGAAGATGGTACATTTGCGTCCCGCTAAGCCGGGCGCTGCAGCGCGATGCCTCTCAGCATCGCAAACTTGGAGTGAAGGCACCACTTTTTGCCTCGGCGGCATGCGAAGTGGCGCCGCACGTTGTGTTGATCCTCGTGGCTTCCCCCGGATTCGAGGATTTTGTGCTGATTGATGGAGCGTAGTTCCCCAAAAGCGATGGCGCCGAGTTGAGACTTTCCGATTGTAAAGTTCTGCAAGAGCTGGCCGAGCGTGTCGGGCGTGCATGCCGTGGGGGTGGCCTGAGCGTAGCATCCAAAGCTCGGGTAGTCATGGTTCTCGGGCCTCCAAGCAGCGGGTCGGATCATGTTCTCATGGCACATGCGGCGCACTCGATCCGGGGTGGTGCCGTGCACATACATGACAGCGTGATGGGAGGCCGTGCCGGATCCAGCTTCCGGGTCTCCGCCAGCAACTGGCCAAGGATGAGGTCGAGGAAACCAAGTGGTTGCGAACACCATGCCGTGTGATTCCCGTCCCAAGAGGTGGTAGAAGCTGGGACCGAACGGTATGGGATCATCCGTGTCCATGGTTCGCAGTTCCCAGCATTCCGCGAGGAGATCGGCATGTGAAGGTGGCAAAGCAGGGTCCAGGTTCATCAAAATGGCCTTAGTCTGTTCTATCCTGGAGATGTCCAAGGCTGGAAGCGGGTCCAGCTCCCCCAACTCCCTTGGCGTGGGAACTCGCAGCGGGTCAGTCTTGGCCGTGTCCATGACGTTTCTCCATAGATCAAGCCACCGGTTGTCGGAAGTGGTGGTGGCATTGATGTCCGCCTCCGATGGAGGGGGATCCAAATCATCGGTGTTGTCGAAGGGGGGTTGGGGAGGGTGAGGAGTAGCCAGCGTGGGTCGGGGAGGGGGAGGGGGAGTGGAAGTGAAGGCCGCCGCAGGTGCTGGGTGAGGGGGCAAGCTAGTGTTGTGGTGGCCGGTGCGGGAAGTGGGGTGGGGTTGCTGCCCATGGTGCTGCAGTGACCAGGACGATCGTTTGTCCTGGTTGTTTCGGTGGCCGGTGTGGCTGGCGCCATGGTGGTGCATGTCCCAGCGGTTTTTGTTCTGTGGTGGGTGTCCCCACGATTGGTTCCACCAGTGTGAGGAGGACCATTGAGACTTGTTGGAATCCTTCCCGGAAGTGCGCCAGGAGGTGGAATCATGAGTAGTGTGAGTGGGTCGGTGCGAAGTCGTGGCTCTGGGTGCAGGGGAGTGTCGATGGTGGGACCTGTGTCGGGGGGAGCGGGAGCGGAGGGAGACAGTGGAGTGGTGTGCACGTCGGGAGTGGTGGAAGTGTCGGGAAGGGGAACGTGACCTGCTGTAGCTGCGGGATCGTCGGGTGTCGTGTCGTCGGTGCGACTTGTTGTGCCTGCGATGGTGGCTGGTGTGGGAGTGGGAGTGTCGGTGCTGTCTGTGGCGGGAACGGGATCTGCGAGAGTGGGGATGGTGCCGAGTGTCCGGGGGAGGGTGGTTGGTTGAGGAGGTAGCGGCAGGAGCCGCAGCGGCAGCTTCGGGCGCGCGCGCCGGCTGAGGCTCGGGCAGTGAAGATGGCATGCTGCTCTGAGTCATGAAAGGCATGATGGTGCCAGGTGCCAAGTTGCCGTAATTGGGAGGGCCACCGTAGGGCATCATGGCCATCGGGTTGCCAAAGTTCGAGAGGCCGCCGTAGGGCATCATGGGGAAAGGTGTGAAGGATGCCGTCTGCGAGTTGGGTGACGGTACAAGGTTCATGGGCTGCGTCATCTGGGATGACAGCTGCAAGTTCGGTCCACAATTGCCTGGTGAGCCGGACGCGGTGCCGGTCGCAATGTTGTGTAGGAGCGAATGCATCATGTCATAGAGCTGGTGTCCAGCCATCTCGCAAGGGAGAGAGAAGGTTGGAAAGGGGTGAAACAAAATCACAACTGCGGCAAAAATGCGTCAATGGTGCAAATGCATGCGAGCACAAAGGGGGTTCTCAGAGGTGCCTGTCAAGTGGCCTCATGAAAGTGCCTCATGTGGCTATGCCGATGAATCTGAATTGAACTCATCCGAGACGAAAGCTTCCATAAACACCCCGAATTGCAGAGTTGGTGTATGACCAACTCGTCACTGGCGCATGAAGCTTAGGAACCTAAAACCTCGTGGGCGCAGCCTTGCTTCAAAGGCAGGCAGTGCAACGCACATGAAACCAGCAGAGCACCATTTGGGTGCGGAATACCTTAAGACCTCAAGTTGCAGCCTTGATCGTGGTCAAGCGCGCTGAACGGCAGGTTGAATTTGAACGTATGAACGGTCTTCCCCTCGCAGGGGGCTCCCGCATGTGGCGAGTCCAGCCCACAGCGCCATGTCGGACAGGCCGTGGGTAAACACACTTATCTCGAGAGGCTTCACTAGCCGAGATGAAAACCGCAGTCAGTAAAAATGCTCGAATGCAAATGCAAATCAACAGGTCACAACGTCGACACCGAACAGGAAGCAACAGCGACAAACAGAAACCGCAAAGGAAATAGGCAGGTACGTCGGATTGATCAGATCCGATATCCCATGACTGAGGTAGCTTCGTTGAGTGCGGTCCCTCAGTCATGCCGCACTCCCCTGCAATGTGGAATTTCCGTCCGTGCTCCAGGACGCTTCACACACACACACACACACACACACACACACACACACACACACACACACGCACACACACACACACACACACACACACACACACACACACACACACACCAAAAGGATGCCCTCAACAGAGACACGCAACAGGACACGCGGCTTGCCAAACCGCAACCAGCGTGTCCCCCGCATGTCCCCAAAAAGCAAAACGACCATGGGCTTGAGATCTGCACGACCGGAGTCCTGAAAGCCCTTTGAACCAACCGGGGAAAAGCCCAGACCCAAAAACCAAACCAGCTGGCCCTGTTGGTTTCCCAAAGCGACCCACAAAAACGTGCTCGTCCCCATGTCCCTCCAGTCATCTGGGGGTTGGGACCTCCTGGCCGAGAGAACCAGGCAAAACCCGGGTGGTTTCTCATCTGTTTCCCTCACCAACCAGCGGCATGCAATACCCAACCGGCCTCTTTGGGCCATCCCCACCTGTAAAACCCTCAGCAAAGGCAAAAAACTTTTGGGGGGTTCCTGACCTCCTGGCCCTCCTGGCCTCCTGCCCCCCTCCTCTTAAATCACCCCCCCAGCTGCCTTCATGGCCACCCCATCCGCCGCCGGCTGCAGGGACTCCCCGGACTTCACGACTAGACGTCGCCCGTCCAGGTGCTCCAGGACCCGGCGGAAGCCCGTCAAGGCCTCCGAAACGAGGCGAAAATCGGAAAGCCGAGAAAAACGGAGCCCTCGGTCCAAGACAAGCCATCGAGTTTCAGTTGTTTCTTTCAAGTCTTGTGTGTGTGTGTGTGTGCGCTTTCATAATATATATATATATATATATATATATATATGAATTATATGTATGTGTTTCAGGGTGTCCAATGAAAGTCATCCATGTTTGTTGCTGCTCGCAATGTTCAGTGTTCTCTGATATATATATATATATATATATATATGTATTTGTGTGTTCAGGGTGTCCGAGCCATTGTTTTTTGGAACCTCCAAAAGTGGCGATCGTTTCAAGGTTCAATAAAAAGCATGAGTCTAGCGATCAACTTAAGGGGAAATCCAGTGACCCCTGTCTTTCCAATAGAAGTGAAGGTTTGGAAAAACTCGCTTCCCAAGGAAAGTAATCCTTTAAGCCGATCGTCAGCTTCCATGCTTGGAGGGCGGGTTCTCTTCTAACGGAAGGACACAAGATCAAACACCCAACGCCCAAGTATGGTCGCGGAAAATTGTTGTGAATGGAAGTGCATTTACTCTCCAAAATGAAGGAAGCCTACAAAAAAGTTCCGCTCTGAGAGACCCTGTTTGTCGATTTCATGCCTGGCATGTCAAGGTTGCGCCGGTTGTGAAAACGGCTTTCTCTGATACGAAAGTGGTTTGCCAGCCATCCTCATGACTACTTCACTCAACAGGAAGCTCCTTCAAGAGTTTTCGCACAAACCGTCAACCTCAAAGCCAGTTCTCCAAAATGAAGGAATGGTGTTCCAGCACAAAGCACGCTTCCTCCCACTGACATAGCAACTGTAAGGCCACCCTCTTCTCCGCAATCTCCCTCAGCAACACGATGCGTTACCGGCCTTCTTCTCCGCCTTTCATCAACAAAAACTAGACCTCCCGCCACTTTCATCAAGAAAACCGGATGCCATGCACCTTCTCCACCCACCACAACCCATGATAAGTCACCCTTCCCATATCTCCTTCACTCATTTTTCCTGCGTGATGTGGCCCAAAAAATCAACCACGCGTTTTGCTTGTCTAAACCCATTTTTCCGCAATCCCTCACCTCCAGGAGACTCACCTCCATGGTGCAGAAGAGGTCAGCGCCGCGCCGTTTGAAGCGAGGATGTTCCTTCTCGTGCAGAACGACCTTGAGGTCCCCTGCGTCGGACCCTGGCTGCTCGTCCGCCTGCAACTTGTGGATTCAAGCCAATTCAGCCGCACAAAATCCAGAAAATCCAGGGTGTGCTGAAAAACATGTGCTGTTCCGAAAGTGCAGTGCACCTTTGCTGCAAATCAAACGCCTCTTACTCCAAAAAGGTCCGTGAGACGAACGTGTAGAGGGTGCAAACGGCGAAAAAAATCTAAGACCTGGCAAATCCTTGTTTTTTGCTTCTTTGCCGCACCATTCTTGGAAAATACCCCCTTTTTGACGCATACCCATCCAACCACCGCCCGTCCATCCATCAACCCGAAGCGTCGCCTTGCCGGCGAAGACGACGGCGTGCCCGTGCACGGCGCCCTTCTCCACGAAGATCTCGAAGGCTTCCTCCACCTGACCCACCTTCCTCAGAGGCGAGAGGCGAGAGGCGAGAGGTAAGAGCGGAGTCCGTGTTGTTGTTTTTTGACTTTGTTAGCTTACATATATACATATATACATACATACCTATATACATATATACATACATACCTATATTCATATATACATATGTACACATATACATATATACATACATACACATATATGTATACATACATACATACATACATACATACATACATACAGACATACATACATACATACATACATACATACATACATACATACATACATACATACATACATACATACATACATACATACATTTATACATATCTACATATAAATATGTATATATGTATGTGTGTTTATACATACATACATGTATACATATCTACATATATACATATATATGTAGACATATATATATATATATATATATGCTACCCCCCCTTGAAATACTCAGGTTTTGGGCCAGAACTGAGGTTTTTTATGCCAGACTGGGGGTGACAAATTCCTTGCGACTCTGAAATGAACTGACTGGACGCTCAACTCCATGCAAATTCCAACCAAGCAGAAGTTAAGATCAACGTTGAAGGAGTTGCGAGTTGTGTGACCGTCACATTGGCGTGCGCGAAGTGCACTTATTCACTTTGGCAGCTCCAGCTCAAAAAGCACAACTGTCCAGTACAAGAGTAGTGCGCGAAGTATGTTTTGGCAGCCTCAATGCGCCTGTAGCAGCTCTACTATTGTGTGTTTCTGATTTTGGTTTGGCAGCGAAAATCAGCAAATCAACAACTTGGGGAAAAGGAACTCATTCCTACTATTCAAGTAAGGGAAGGATATCCAGTTTAAAACGCTTTCGAGTTCAAACCAAAGTCAAGTTTACTCGTTTGGAGTTTCTTGTGGATTTCAAAAATCAACTGGAGAAGATAGCTCCCCTAAAAACTTGACAGCTTGTTCTAGACTCATTAAGGTTTTGCCCCCTGCATTGAAGATTGAAGATCTACTATATTTTCTATTGAGAATCTTCCATCCTGGCCAGCCCTCAAGTCCGCAAAATAACCTGTAACGATGTCAACAACATTTTTCCCCCTCCTGGCCAAATGCAGGTGCTTGGCAGTGCAAGTGCACATCCAGAATTTGATTCTGACAACGTGCACTCCGGGTCTGCCTTTTAGATTCTTCAAATCCGCACTTAGGGCAATCCAGGATCTGAAGATTGAAGATTCTCTGACAACTCTTTCTGAAATTCTCCAAATATGTACTCAGGGCAATCCAGGATGTGCTAGCACGTGCTAGCACATCCTGGATTGAAGATTGAAGTTGAAGATTCTCGGGCCACTTGTTCTGGAAATCTTCAATCTATCCTTAGGACAAACTGATATGTGCTAGCACGTGCTAGCACATCTTGGATTGAAGATTGAAGATTGAAGAATCCCAGAGAGAGTTGTCAGAGACTCTTCAATCTTCAATCTTCAGTCCAGGATGTGCTAGCACGTGCTAGCACAAATCAGTTTGTCCGAAGGATGGATTGAAGATTTCCGGAACAAGTGGTCTCAGAATCTTCAATCTTCAATCTTCAATCCGGGATGTGCTAGCACATCCTGGATTGACCTAAGTACCGATGCTAGAAGTTAAGTCTAAAACGGAGTGCATTTGTGGAGCCTATTTTTTAGAAGCTGGAACGTGTGTTTTGCATGCATTTGTACAGCCAAAATGTCAATCTCTGGCCAAAAACCTGAGTATTCCAGGGGGGGTACCAAATATACACATATATATATAGATGCATATATATATATATATACATATATATATACATATATACATATATACATATATATATATATACAAAGGTGTATATATGTATATACAAATGTGTATGTATATATATATATATACATACAGTTGAAATCATGTCCATGATCACCACGCCAGTATGTTGTACAACGTGGAAATCTGGTCGCTGAACCACGCAACCCAAAAAACAACGGGAGAAAAAGTGGGAAAAAGTGAGTCATAATCAAAACCCGGTACTAAAATGGTCAACCCAGAACCATGTAACGAAATAGGAAGGCGGCCGTAGCTATATTATGGTTGGGATTTGTCCCTTACCCAGGTTTTGATTCTGGCTGGCGGTAGCGGCGCTGTCTATCCTCCAGGGCATTGCCTGGGAGTCACGGAGTGAACCCTAAAAGCGAAAGAAGGGCCACGAGGGTGCCGACCTGCGAGGAAAGTTCAGCGACTCTTGCCTCACAGGCCGAAGGCAGAATAAACTCAGAATATTGCACTTTGCACGGGGGCATCCGGCGAAGCCTGCCGAGCCTTGTCCAAGGGACCGTGAAACCACAGAGCACGCAACGCGGCTCGCAAGGGTCCCAGTCGGCGCTATAGCAGTGGGAAAGCCCGGGGGCACCGGCCAGGCGACTGGCCCACCCGGTCATAAGATGTTTCCTTCGACCTGTACAAAACCGAAGTCTTCGCACAGAGGAGTTGCCGAGTGCTTCACGCAGTTGCTCGGCGTCCAACCCCGACAAGAAGTCGAGAGGCACCTTCTCAAGGAGAAACTCTCTCAAGAGAACCTTGCAGGCATCAATACGCTCCGGTACTGAAGTCAGGGCATCAAAATCAACGCAAGGGCGGTCAGGGACCTGGTTCAAACCGGGAAGAACAGGGCCCGCCTTCTTATCATTCAGACGAGTCCGTACCACCAGGGAGGCAAAGACAGGCGAATACCTCCAGCAAGTGATAGATGTCCCAACCTGATCCATTGTGACGTAAAGCTTGCGCAGCGGTTTACCCAGCATAAGGTATTCCTCATTCAAGTTGACCAGAACTTTCAGTCCAATGTTGATGCCGTCGTGCCGTGGAAGCATCAGCCCGAAGGGCAACGTCGGCAGCGGAGGCCAAGATTGACACAGCTCCAACATGTCCGGCTCGGTTTCAGCATCAATTGGAATCCCTTGCATTTTGAGAATACCCATACATAACATCCGGATCTTCCACTGGGCCTCGCGAGCAGTCTTGATCTTACGCAGGAAGGGCGCTTTGTCCCCTGCAATAAAGATGAAGAGCAGCAAGGCCTCAATCCAAGTATGCCTTCTTGGGAGGGCTTCAGCTTTGCCTTTGTCAAATATGCACCAGTCAAGCATACCCCGAAGAAGGTGGAAATCTTCAATACAACCACCCCAGTACCATAAGTTGGCTTTGACCGCCATCATGTCAGGGTCGATAGTCAAGAATTGTCCCCTCTTAAATACAACGTGGCTGTGGAAGGGGGAGCTGAGCAAATAAATATCTTCCGGCTGAGCGTGCTGTCGATCAGCACGATCAGACTGTACCGGAGCATGATCAAGCTGAATAGTGTAATCAATTGCACGGAGATCGCGGTGACGAGCTTCCCACTTACCAAGGAGGTCAACCGCTTGTCGTTGAATAGTACCCCATTTAGCCTGAAGCCTAGGGGGTAGGTCTTTGCAGAACACAAGAAGGTGTTGAGAACAGGGGCTCCACCGCGACCAGGATTCCCACCCTTCATCCCATTGACTGCGCAGATCGGCCCAAAAAGGGCATTCCCAAAACAGGTGCGCCAAAGTAGCGTCATGGTGTCTACATTCTCTGCACTCTGGAGTATCAGTGAACTTCTTGACAAATTGCATGTGGAAGGAGTTAATCCCGTTGATCAGCACTCGAATGAGCTTCTGTTGCACAGGGTGCCCTTCAGGCAACAAGTGAAGAAGCGCAGTGGTTGTGCCGAAATCGTGGTTGCCGATCCCCTTCCAACAGGAGGAGTTGCATTGTTCCAATTCAGAGGCAATCTTGTTACGGAAGGAATGACTAAGAGCCTTGCTCATAACTTTGCAGTCGCTACTTCCAAAGGTCCAAAGCAGTCTACCCTCATTGTTGCTAACTTGCAAGTTGTCAACGTTCAAATGAAGCTGCAAATATTCCAAATCCTTTTTAAGCTGGGAAACAGGGCCAATCTTTTTGATAGAGGGAAGGACCTTCTCCCAGATCTGAATCACTGCATCCTTGAAGGCGCGCTTCTTGAAGGCATGATTGTTCCAGAAGAGCAGGTTTCTCCAGACAAAGAAAAACTCAGGGTCCATAAGCAAGTAGTTTTTCTGGAACAGAATCCGGGCCGAAAAGGTCCCAAGCTTGCTTCCGTGTGCCGCTGTACGAATAGCTGTGCGGAGCTGCCTGAGCTGATCCTTAGTCGGTCTCAGTGTAGCGCCTGCATACGTAAGCATAGGAATAATGACCGTGCGGACAATCATATTGGTAGTGGCCGCAGGTTGGTTGGCCCTTGCAAGCAATTGCAGCGCGGTAATAGCTCCGTGTATTTTCTTTTCAAACCAAGTCTTAGAGGGAAAGAGCCCAATGGCCAAAGGAACACCAAGGTAATCAACCGATTTGACTTCCTTGACAACTTGCCCATCCCGCCAGCAAAGCGGTGTGGACTTCTTCACATCTCTGATTTGACAAGTCTTAATTTGCGTGCGGAAATTATGAAGCGTATCCCAAGCTTCGGTGCGTCCAAAGGCATGCTGGAGTTCACTCGAGTCACCTTCCGTGAAAAGAAGCCTATCATCCACATAAACATAGTTGTACACAGCGCTGTTGAGATCTCTTGACCAAACCGCCAGCACAAGGCTAGCAGCAGCCATACTGATGGGGTCACCCTGAGGCAACCCGATCGTCCCAAGAACAGGCCGTCTGGCTACTATGCCGGAGGTGGAAACGAATCTCCTCATGTGCCTGATGGAATGAATCCAAGTGCCAACAGCAGCCTGATGCATACCCCATTCGGATAAGGCATGACAAGCAAGCCAATGTGGGATACAATCGAAGAACTTGACAGTGTCGATTGCCACACCATGAAATGAGAGGTGCGTCTCATTCTGGCATTTCTCAGCAGATAGAGAGGCATGCAGCCATGCCTGATACCCACTGCGCTGAGGTACACCCCCAATGATGTTCTCAGGGAGGTTGTCGAAGGTGATTTCACCGCATTTCAAAAGCCACTTG